GCTAATTTCTCTCTCTGTTCGGGCTCTTTCTACCAGGCGAGGATAAAGGCGAAGGCAATCGCTATCAACACTTTCATACCAAAGAACGGGTACCGGCCGGTGGAGGTGAACCCGTACGCTCAGCAGCGCTACACATCCTACTACATCCCGCCGGTTTACAGCCCCCAGCAGCAATTCCCGTTATACAGCCTCATCACGCCGCAGGCCTGGTCGGCCACACACAGCTTCATCGACCCCGCGCTGGTAAGAATGAGTTACTGTGTACTTATTGGATTTGGGAAAGAAGACGTCAAAACGGTTGTGTATTAAAAACGGTAAATTCACAATTTTTTTTGGATTTAAGATTAAATCAGCACCAGGATTAAATTTAGTTACTTGTGTTTAATGGTCTGAATAATACACTGTGCTTTCTGTAGTGGCTCCTTTATTAAATATAAACTGTTTAAATTGGTGCTATGAAGCATTAATAGGTTTAGAGCCACTTTCACATTTTTAAAACACTTTTTATAAACACACAATATCAATAACTACATTAGAAAACATTAAGTTCAAAAGTCACAACGAGCTTAATAATTTGTTACTTAAATGCATCTTATTTAACTGTTTTTCTGTCTCCAGGTTACTCCATTTCACAACAACCAGTTCATCAACGGATTTACATCCCACAGTTTCAAACCAGCGACGTCGCCCCTCACTGTCAGACACTACTCGCCCAGGAACAGGTTTGTTATAGTTCAGTGCAACAATGTAGTTAATGTTGCTGTTGGAATAATACATCCAGGTAAACGGGCAGCATCTCACCTTTCTCCACATGTAAACACACGGGAAGTTCCTCAGTCGTCCCAGCACATCTCCATCACCCTCACACAGGGTGTGATCAGCTGTTCACCCACTGATGTTGTGTGTATGACACACAGCTGTGTGTTTAAACAAACCGAACATAGAACATAAAACATTTGTTTTTACTTATTTGTAATCCCAGGGGTGATTGACAGATTAACCATATGATTATTTACCTGCTTAGCAAAGTTTTGAGGTTGTTTTTAAATTAAGGATTTGTTACAATATGAATTTAATGGGGTAAAAGTCTGTGAAGTTGTCTTCTGTTGTCCAGTTTTGATTGAGCCTACGTGAGTTTTCTGTTTTTAGCTGACAGGAGTGGCACCAGGTGTCGTCTTCTGCTGCTTTAGCTCTTCTGTTTCGAGGCTTGAGGAGTTGTTGATTCTGCGTACTTTAGTTGTAATGAGTGGCTTTTTGAGTTCAGGTCGTCTTCCTGTTAGCTTGAAGC